TTAGTCTAGTAATTTTTGAACAGTTTAGCGCACATACCCTTCATTTCGTCCCAAACAGTGAAAACCAAATACACCAACAATTTGGCTCAACAATAAAATTATTTTGTGTTATTGGTATTCGAGGAATAAAAACAACAATATAGCTCAACAATGTAATTTGGTTCCTCGAATACCAAATACACCAATAAGGTGTACTCTGTATCATCTCATTACGATAGGATTCAGAAAAATATTGACGGTGATGCACTTTAGGTTGCTCAAAAATTGCTCTCAACTTGCTATGGAATACAACTATGCCAATGAAAGTTAAAATATTTTCCTGCAGGGTGATTTTGGATAAATTGCCTACAAGGGATAATCTGGAAGCAAGAGGTATCATTACTAATCCACATGAATTGGTCTGCATTTTCTGTTTTAGGGCTATTGAAAGTTGCAACCATATTTTTTGTGGGTGTAGTCGTATTTTTTTGGTTTGGAATAAGGTGTTGGAGTGGGTTGGTATTCCATGGTGCACAGAGGTAGATTGTTGTGATTTTTTTACTGGTTTGGTTTGTAAGAACGAGAAGGAAATGTTCAGCTGGAACAACATGCTTATTATGGTTTACGTCTTATTGGTATATATGGTATTCAAGGAACCAAATTATATTCAATAATGAGGTTGACATTTCAGCGGTTATTGTTCAAAGAATTATCTCTTGCTCTTGGTGATGGTTACCTTTAGTTTCTAAAACTAAAATTAGGTGCAATTACTATGAGTGGTCTAAGCGCCCTTGTGATTTCTTGTAGGTTGGGTTCCTTTTGTTGTCTGTTGGTCGTAATTTGTGTAATAGGGTTGGAGTACCCCCTAGTACTTCCATCTAATTCAAGTTGCTTGCTTATAAAAAAACACAAAATATTTTATTATATCAACAAAAACAACAATATAACTAACAAAAACCATAACAATAATACAAAACTTTTATTTATCTTAACAAAAACAACAATATAACTCAACAAAAAACACAACAATAATACATACTTTTAATTGTATCAACAAAAACAAGAACATAACTCAACAAAAATAACAACATAACCTATAATCTTCTCTTTAAAATAAAAACAATAACACAACTTTTACTCGTAATAAAAAATATATATAACATAACTCTACAAAAAACAACATAATAAATCATTTAATATCATCTTAAAAACAAAAACAATAATACTAAACCTTTTATTACATGAACAAAAACAACAATATAATTCATTACATGAATGATGGAAATATTTCACTTACCAGAAATGTGAAGAAGTCAACAATTGTGGTGAAATGTCTGTTAGAACACAGATTGGTTCTTATTTATATCTCTATGTTTTGATGATAACACTTACGAAATTTTGTATTAAGAAATTATATACTCTAAATTTGTTCAAGTATTTTTGCTGCAGATATTAAATTTAATATTCTTCTGAAAGCAAAAATGGATCTGAACATTGAACTACGCAAGACTCTGAAGCGTCAGAAGCATCTCTTAGAAGACTCTGAGCGCTGACTACAGAAGGATCTGAAGCAGAAGCTACAGAAGCATCTGAAGCGTAGACTGAAGACTTTGTATGAAGAGTTTCAAGCATTGTTTTTCATAAGACTCTGATAGTATTGTACGCTGCAAGTACTGAGGATCTGATTTCCAAACTATGCTCTGAGTAATTTCACGCTAAAGCACACTTGCTGCAACACTCTGATACAACAAACTCTGAAGACATCAAGACTCTGATCACTCAAGGCTCTGATGTTGATTGCTATGAATTAGAAACTTGTTGAAGAAGAATTCAAAGTTATATCTGTTTGTTATGCCAAACGACTATTTCCTCTTTTATGCTAGACACAAGAACTCAGGAAAAAAGGATTTCTCTGAACGTTCTACTTCTAGGAAAGGTCAAGTGATGTGAAGACAAAAGGCTACAACTACTTTGCAGTACACGGTCTTCAATCTTGCAACGTCTTGGACTTCTGTGCCTATAAAAAGCAAGCCTTCAACAACTTTCTTCTGTAGACGAATATTGACAAAAATTGAACAATCCATTGAAAACTATCTCAAAGCTCTCATACATATTATTTATTCTTTGATTGAATAGTTTCATAAGTTCTTAAAACTTAAGTGTAAATCACAGCTGTGATACAACTTTCTTAGAAGCATTTAAACACTTGTTTAGTTTTACATTTGATTGTAAAAGTTCCTTGAGAAGACCAAGTTATGGTCAGTAGTTCTTGAGAAGATTAAGAACAGTTGTTCTTAGTGGTTGTTATTGTAATCAGTTTAATTATAGTGGATTAAGTCCTTGTTGAGAAAGACAAATCACTCTTGATATGGTGGACTGGATTAGTTGAGTTCAACAAACCAGGATAAAAATCTTTGTGTTTTTATTACCATAATATTTTCTAAATCCTTATTAACCCCCCCCCCCCCCCCCCCTCTTCTAAGTATTTTCTCACCTTCAATGTCTATTAGTAACATGCTTTTAGCGTGTTAATAAGGAACATTTCACTATGGTTGTTAGCTTTCATATGTGGTGAAAATTGTTTAATTTAAATTTAAAAATAAAATATAAAGGGAACACACCTATTTTCTAATGAAAAATCACAAATTGTTGGTGTTGAGATTATAAGTGTGTCCCTCATTCACCTTTCACCACGGTTATTAACTTTGACCGAGATAAAAAATTATTTTAAAAAAGGCTAATTAATAGATATTACCTCAGGAAAATAAATGGTTGAAGGAAAAGTCTATTGTGATAGTGGTGATAACAAACTTTCTTGTAGTGCAACCTCAACTCATGAATTTTCATTAATGACATGTAGTGCGACTAACGTTTTTCGGGGTGTTTTGTCTACCTTGCATTTGTTTAGTTGCAGGGTGTATTATTTGTGAGATGATATTCACCTTGCAAATTGAGGATTTATTTGTAGTGACAAGTGATCTAGATGATCGTAGACCATGACCTAGTACTTGTATATATTTTTTTGCTCAAACATTATGTCATGAAGTTCTAAAAAACAGTCTCTCGTGGTTTGTTCAAGCCCAAATAATAAATATTGTGCTCTAACTCATTCTACATCTGAACTTCTATGGTTAGAATCATTATTGGACGAACTTGAAATTCTTTCCTATACGTCAACATTATTATGTGATAATTAGAGTAGAGTCTTGCATCCACATAACCCAATATTGCATATATGTACCAAACACATATAGTTTAATATCCATTTTGTTTGTGAAAGAGTCGAGTCTACTAAACTTTTAATACAACATGTTCAAGTTGCTACCAAAATTGTTGATATTATGACCAAGCCTCTTGTAACAGCTATTATTCAAAAGTTGAAGTCCGAACTCAAGATCACTTTTTCAAACCCCATTGATCTTGATGGGGAGTATTATAGAGAAGTTTAAACTTAAGTTATAAGAAATCTTTCAGCAACGGACAAAATTAGTTGTGATCTAGTTAGCAGTTAGAATTATGGTTAGTTGTTAGTTAACTAACATAGTTATAATCAACACTCTTTTAAGTCTTAGTAATCTTAATGTCTCTTTATTTAGCTAATATAGTATATAAGCACATTCACTACTATTGTTAGCGTCAACACAATAATATGACGTTTTAGTTTCTCTGCATATCTCTTTCTGCCTCACAAGGCATCTCAAAGTGAATTTTCAACTATATTAACCACAAACGTAAAACAAAACATACATGTGTTTGTCGCTAAAACCTTCGTATTGTATTTATGAATAACTTTGACATTTTAAAATCCTTTCTAATTGAGAGTCAGTCATCTTATTGTGAATCAACTAAGCGTCTGTTTGTTTTAGGTTTAAAAAATTGATTTTTTCTTTCTATTTTCAAAAATAAATTTTATAAAATTGTTTTATAAAATATTATAAATTATTTATATTCGTTTTTTCTAAATTTAAAAACTAATTTTAATATCCTATAATATAAATATATATTATTGAAGATTAAAATATAGTCGAAATTGTAATTTTTTTAAAAAATTGTATCTCAAATTTTTTATTTATGAAAAACTATTTAAAATAATTTTAAAATTAAATTATTAATTTTTTTGAAAATTTGATATTAAATTTTTTTTTAATATAATGAAATAATATTTAAAATAATATTTTAAAAATAACTATTCAAACTAAATTTTGATTTAAAATTTTTACGAAAAATTTCTTTAGCACAAAATTTTGTTACACTATAAAAATTATTTTAAAATAATTAAAACAAACTACTCTAAATCTAAAAATTTATATTTTCAGATAGTTATAACTTAAATTGATATATGATCTAGAAACCTTCAAGTGTTTTGAGAGTTATTCTCTTAAACAAATGTATGTTATTAAATCACAAACTTAATTTACAAATTGTCCGGTAATGAAAAAATATCTAGTTGGGATATATTGATGACTTGACTTTTACTAAATCTAATTTTTATATGAATAAAACTTAACTTTTAATGTTTGAGGAGTCTATGTGACAATAGGCCAAAATTCAAATAAAAGTGTTTGGTAATTAGAAAATTGGTTATTGCTGACGAAGTCATTCAAGTGAAGAAGATAAAATTTATAATAAATGGATTAGTGTATCAATCGGTTGAAATGTGAACTAAAAGAATAAAAAGAATAGAAAAGGACAAAAAGAATACAAACATAAACAAAGGACAAAAAGAATAAAACATAATCAAATAAAACCATAAACAAAACAAGAAAGATTTAACAAACAAATATGTAGATATAATAATTTCTTAATCAAATAAACTACACCACCTCACAATATTTGATTCCATTCGATTTACATATAAGCAAACATATGGGATTTATTTATTGTAATAACATTACTGTCACAATAGATAACAAAATAGTAAAAATGGAAAGATTATAACGAGTAGTTAATAATCATCCATGCACGTATACAATAATCAAACACTCATAAATAGGACACCGATGCATTGTATATGATTTAATTTAGGCACATTGGAAATCACGTGGAACTTTCCTTGAGCAAACATTGAGAAGCAAGCTAAGTGAGATGGGAAGGTTGAGATGAATGCCCAAAACGTTAGCCTTAAGGGCAGTGCAAAGACACACTGCAGCCTCAAGATCAACAAGGCCATTAAGAAGGGAGCAACATGGTGTCACTGGTGGTTGTCCCAATGTTAGATTCAACAATCCTTTTAGGACATTGGCACAGACACCAAGTTTAAGGGCATCACGTGGACATGTTCCACTTGAAGGTGTAGTAGGGTTAGGGTTTGGGTTAGGCTTTGGCTTTGGAGTTGGTTTTGGAGTAGGGTTGCATGAGTAGGAGCCACAAGCAGAAACAAGAGAGAAAAAGAGGAGGTTTATTGTGAGGAAAATTGCAAGGGAAGAACAAGTTTTGGAAGCCATATCTTAATTAAATTATACTTGTAGTGGCTAAGTATGATTAGAGCTTAATTAAGAGAAGAAGAGTTGAGGTGAAGATGAGAGTTATTGAGAGTAATGAGGGTTTATATAGTGTTGATGGTGTGTTTTGGAATGGCATGTAGGGTAAGATGGGTAGGAACTAACCCTAAGCAATAATATAGATTATATTAAGTAAGGAGTTAAATTGGGTTAAGATAAGTTAATCATGTGATGCAATCATGTAAAGAGACATGAATTTTAGCTGGCAGAGGATATACTCTTCAAATTGGTTTTGGATTTTTGTGTAAGTGTGATTGACATCAATAATCAATGAGTCTATCATTTATTTTTTCCTTCTAGTTTGATTTCATTCTCTTTGTTTTCTCTCATTATGACTACTAAGCACATGAGTGGACCCATTGGAGTTTCAAGGAACTTATTACTATGGTTTAATTACTTTCAAAAAAATAAAATACTGTAATCCTTTTTATTTTTAAAATAAAAATGAATTTTATAATAATAACCAAATAAAAAACATTTATGTTATATGTAATTGGCAAATCAATAACCTTTTTTTTATATAAATTATTTATTAGTATAATTTAGAGTTGTCAAAACAAAATATCCGATTCTAAACATACCGGTTTAATTGGCCTCGAGCTTTTTAGCGTTGGATAAAAAATTATTGTTGTCATTAAGACTTACAAATTATTATACGAATTAGGTTTTATATGGGATTCAGAGTTCCCAACTTTAAATAAACTATTTTTTGAATTATTTTTTATACAAAAATTAAAATAAAATTTTTATAATATTTATTATAAATATAATAAAAAGTTATAAATTATTTTAAATATAATATACTTTTAAGTACTATATATTTTTTTAAAAAATACTATAATATATTTTTAAATGCAATACAATTTCAAATTATATAAATAATATTCAAATATTTAAAATAAGAGAAATTAATAGAATACGAAGAAATTGTGAATAAAATACTTAAAAATCAAATATTAATTTGATTACATTAATGTATAATATTTAAAAGAAAAAAGATATGAAATAGAGATAAAATTTAATAAAATAAAAAATTAATGTGTTGTTTTAGAGCGAAATAATATAAATATCAGTATAATTTTTTTAAAAATTACAGTTATACTGGTCTAATAGACTAGCTTAATGAGTAACGAGTTTTCTTTATCAAACTAAAGAAGTTTAAAAAAATATGAGCTTTTAACTTTAAGATCCAAATCCTATATAGTTTATTGAATTTAACGGACTGACTTATATTGCCTAACCCATTTTGACTCTAATTAGAAAGAATATAATCCTTGTTTTAGAGGAATTAATAATGAATTACTCTATTATCTATAGAAAATTAATTTGATATTCCAAAGTTATAATATTTTTATGGAAAATAAATATATATTAATAAAAAAGATTGAACTAACTGAAGCACTAAAAATATTTTTAAATCTAGAAAATAAAAACAAATAAAAAAATTATAAAATATAAATTGAATAAATCGGATAAGGAACCAAACCAGACACATTTAAAAGCATTGAATATAAAAAAAAAAACCCTCTTAAAAGATTAAGTTAAGGGAAGGGGAACCACCTTCCCAAACATAAAGGTTTGTTGGCCATTGTACACACCCATATATCTCTAAGCATAAGAGCGAGTCTTTCTTTCAAACTGAAAGAGAGAAATCAAAATTCGTAAAATACATGTGAATCCACTTTTAATAAATACAATTAATTGAGTTTATAAATGTTATTGCGAATTTCGTTTAATAAATTCATAAATAAATTATGAGTTTGAGTAATTTATATATATAATACTCTCTCTGGTTCTTAGTATAAAAAAATATTTATTTTTTTAGATTTATTTAAAAATCAATATATTTTATTTATATATTAGACTAGATTATTGATCAATACATTTAAAAAACAAATTTTTACATTGATTACTCAATAAATATAAAAAACAATTTTTTTCTTATATTAAGAATTCACCTTCTCTCTTATCACTTATCACTTTGTCCTAATTATGTAAAAATATACCTTTCATAAATAAACACCTCTTAATTTATTTACCCAAAAAAAGGTTTGAATACGTTTTATAACATGAAAGAGAATAAAATACTAGTATAGTTTTAGTAGTATCTTGTGTTCTGGTTGTCGTTGTTATCCTTTTGCGGTTCTTTTTCAAGAAAGGCAATATAGTATCCCACTTTTATAACCTCTCTTATTTGTTTCTTCATGCCAATTACTTGTCATCTGCGTCACAAAAATCTTGAGGGTTGAAAAACAAAAACAGATAAGCCTACTTAATTAGACTATAAATCGTTGAGTCTAATTTTAAATTACTACCATCATTTCTCTTTGACTTTTGCGACTATAATAGAATAGAAAGACAGAGTTTTGGATGGATATAAATAGAAATGAAATAGAAAATTTCTCATTTTTGAAAAAATAACTATATTTTTATGAAACATAATAAATTAATATTTGTTAATAATATATTTATAAAGTTGAAAAAGATTGACATAAATGTTTAATAACTCCTTTTCAATACAACTTTTTAAAAGATAAAAAAAAAAGAACAAACTCAAAGATTATATTATGCATAAGCCATATATATATATATATATATATATATATATATATATATATATATATATATATATATATATATATATATATATATATATATATATATATATATATATATATATATATATATATATATATATATATATATATATATATATATTTTATGAGAGTTTCGATAAATTCTTTATTTATCTTTCTGCATACTCTCTTTCATTTTCTTATAGATCGATACTTTTTCTACTCCTAAAGTTTTGAATTAAACTTTGTATTTAACTTTATATATATATATATATATATATATATATATATATATATATATATATATATATATATATATATATATATATATATATATATATATATATATATATATATATATATATATATATATATATATATATATATATATATATATATATATATATATATATATATATATATAAAGTTAAATATAAAGTTTAATTTAAAATTTTAGGAGTAGAAAAAGTATCGATCTAAAAGAAAATGAAAGAGAGTATACAGGGAGACAAATAAAGAATTTATCGAAACTCTCATAAATATATATATATATATATATATATATATATATATATATATATATATATATATATATATATATATATATATATATATATATATATATATATATATATATATATATATATATATATATATATATATATATATATATATCAGTAATAATTTATCTCACTTTAGAAAAAAAATTAATACAATAAAATATTTTCATATTAATAAAAATATGGATTTGAATATAACCTAATATGAAACTATGAAAATATATTAAAACTATTTAATATATAAAAACAATTTGATCAAACTAATTTTAATTTATATTGGAGTTCTAATAAAAAAATTTAATTAAAATATGTCAAAGTGAACCATTAATTTTATACAAAATGATAATAATTTTCTAAATTTATTTCTTTGTTTAGTAAAATTATTATGTTATTAATCTAAAAAAAATATTTCTATTTTGTTTTAATTTCTTTAAGTGTCCATAGACCAATAAAATACAAATTACGTATCCTTTTCAAATATTTGATTATGATGAATAGATAAAGTGATAAATATGGTATGTAATTTTTATAATACATATTGAAGGATATCATGCTTCTAAGTTTATACATTTATTATTAGATGTTTATTATTATTCATATTCATTTAAAATATGTTAGATAAATTAAATACTTAGTTTTAAATTTTCATAACTTAATATTAAATAACTTTGATTATAAATTTGTGTACAAATATTAAATAGATTTTTAATTTTAGTAACATGATATGATAAGTGTAATTTATTTACATATTTTAATCAAAATTTGAATAATGGGATACATGACACAAGTCATGGTTTTCTTTTATATATATATATATATATATATATATATATATATATATATATATATATATATATATATATATATATATATATATATATATATATATATATATATATATATATATATATATATATATATATATATATATATATATATATATATATATTGTATTATAAAAAAAATCTTGTATTTGAAGGATTGTATATGTTATTTTGAGTTGTTGATGACATTTAGAATTAGTTCACGCAAAATGATGATAAACTTTGTATATATGATTTTTAAATAAGGGATTGATCCTTCTTGAATCTTTAATTGGGTGTATTTATAGAGATTTCTTAGATTGGATCCTTGAACCTAACAATAGTTATTCTCTCACTCTCTTTTAAGAGTGGGGGAGGTAGAAACCTTTATTTCTTTTATTATTTTTTAGAATGAGGTTTCTTCTTTTGATTGATCTTTACATATTGTTTGTGTATAAGGACATTTCATTAATCGTATTTTATATGTGGTTGAAGTAGGATATGACCCAAACTCAATAGAGGTGAATGTTATGATAAATGGTCAATTAAAAATCTAACTATAGACCGCACGTAGTGCTAACTTTATATTTGTTTGAATTTTTTTGGGCAGTTCATCGTAATCGCTCGTCTCTAAAATAGTCTAAAAATACAAGTTAAAAATAAAATAGAAAATTTTATATTTATTTAAATAGACTGATACGATAGATTTTAAAAAATGACCTAAAACCTAATTTTTTTAGAGATTAATTACTATACACTATCGGCGTAAAACGTTTTACACCGTCGATTCATCATCATCCTTACTTTATAAGTGATTAAAATAAAAGTCAAACTCTTCTAAACATCTAATGACTATGATTAACTGACAGTATAAAATCCTTTTACATCCGAGTTTGGAGATGGAAATTGTACAAGTTGATAGGCAGAGGGTTAAGAAAGAGGAATCGATATGGTGGAGGGACCTATTAGATTTGTGTCATTCTGACCAAAATCAGGAGGATCCG